TCCAAACTAGGAACGAAGTCTCATATCTCTGGGCCTTAATACTCATTTCTCTGTAATATTCTTTTCTACTTCCCAAAATTCTTGCTGCTGAGCACCCTCTTACCTTAAAGACTGAACTCAAGTATTGCCTCCTCTATTACACTTGCCTGGCATCTTCTCAACCCCAGTAGAACTGACTGGTTCCCTTGTGTCTCTCACTATAGCTCATATTCCTATAAAAGCATCTCTTATACTTTTTTGCATTAACTTTTAAAAATGCCTGTATCTTCTTACTAAATGATAAGAACATTGATGTTAGGGATCTGGACTTGTTTATTTCTGAACATTGAACTCCTGTTATATTTCTGAAATCATAGTAGAGTCTATATCTGCTTGTGTATTTATTAACTGAACATATGACCAAATTAATAAATCAGTGTATCAAGTAATTTGAGTATTCATGAATAAATCAGTTGACAAATTAATCAACAGATTTAGTAACTTGAATTTTCTAAAAAGTTGACTTCTGCATGAAGTTCAATATCCCACCTTTCTACTAATTTTACTGAGTCCATAGGCTTTCCTCCTCAAGAGATTTTATTCTTAATTACCTGAATATATAAATTGCAATATAAAAAAGAATGTGCACAATATTAGCTATCATTTGTTGAATGTTCATTAAGCTACAGGCACATTGCCTATGACTTGCATATAAGTTACTTCCTTTCTTAAACCTGCTTCTTAATGTATAAAAGATGTTATTATCTATTCTATAGGTCCATTGTGAAATGAAGTTAGTTGGTGTACATAGATGCTATCCCCTACCCCAAGTCAGAGCAGGCACAGTGGGTCATATGTTCAACCCAAAATTTAGGCCTAATCCTAACTTCTATTGACCTTCTTTGTTTCCATCCGGACCCTGAGTTTAAAATAATCCCACGAACTGTATGAGAGTACTTCAAAAAGTTCAAGGGAAATGAAATTGAAAGATGAATAAAATTTTGAAATTCATGCACACAGAGGATGCTCAAAAAGTTCATGAAAATATATATTATGAAAAACTATGCTTGGATTTCAAAAATTTTGACCAAAATACATTTATCTTTTAATTACATTGTCCACTAAATTTATGTAGTACCCTCATCTCTTCAAGTGTCTCTTGCACTAAGTCTGTGACTGACTCCTCACAACAGCCATGTGCAGTATCTAAAACAAAGGTCCCTGCTACCTGCTTCTCAAATAGGAAGATGACTACTATAGGCACTCATATATTTGTGACAGAGTCCAAGACTAGAACTCCCCATAGGCCATATGTATTTTTATGTTTGAGGTCATCTGTGATAGACCCATATTCTAAATATGTATCATTTAGATGAGCACATGTGTTGCAATTCCCTTGTGTCAAACTCATACAAAGTTTTTGAAGTTAATTCCCACAGCTTGGCTTCTGTTTGCTTAAAACAATTTTTTTTTCATTGTTTTCGAGTCTTCAACGTTTATCTACTCTAACCTTAAGGAAGCATTCTACATTTCCCCTACTGTTTATAATTAGTGTGTCATTATGGGACTGGAAGTTTCAGGTAAAGTTCACTGCCAAGTTTGCCAACTTCTTAACAATGCCCAGTGTGGTATCTTTGGAGGTTTGCAAGAAATAGTTTTTAATTGCTCAACTTTGAGCACTACACTGAGGCTAATCATGTCCCTAGAGCCTAGAAGAATCTCTGAGATACAAAGCTATTAGAAGTATTCTGTTTATCTGAGACCCACCCAAAAGAACACAAGCAAGAAGAATGTTTATTCCAGCTCAGGCTGGGAACATCATTTTTGAATGTTGAGACAAAGTGCCTTAGACCTCTGTTTAAAGGCTAACAGGACATGTTTGACTGGTCATTCCTGTCTAGTACCTGATTTTCTTTTTTTTCATCTGGTCCATGCCTCCTAATCCATGGCTCAGGCCTATTTCATAACATAAGAGAGAGATGTCAGAGTCGCCACTTTCTATATTAGAATTAAGAATTCATACGTAACTCCAGACAAATACTCAAAGACAATGACAATGAATTGCCCCAGCTACAGTTAGACTTTTGGAATAGACTTCACATTGTTTCTTTTGCACATCTCTTTTGACTAAGCATTTTTGAGTGCATCAGAAACAGAGTTGATGAAGGGGGAGAGGACTTTCATTGGTCACAGTTTTTCCTAAGAAGCTAAAGATATTTCCATACACTTGGTCCCCAACTCCTACTTCTTTCCCTTTGCTCTCAATAACTCTTGTAATTCAGTGTCCTAAGGCATTTGCTTGACTTTTAGGATACCTCCCTACACCAAGCTACAGAACTCATTAGTATTCACTCCTCCTTTTATCTTAAGCCAGATCTTCCCTGGCACCTTTTTACTAGGCCTTAATGATAACTTCCTTAGTTGTCTTCCGTATGTAAGAAAAAATATTTATGACCTAATCTCAAAAGGAGTGCTTTGAATTGGAACCGGTTTTTTAGAACCAAGAATGTCATAAATGAAATCAGGTTCAAAGACAGTCTGTATAGTGAAACAAGCTAAGGCCCAGAAATTTGAAGTCACTCACCCAAAGCCAGATAGTTTGTGAGCTCTTCATTCTCCTTAGGTCTTTCCTTCTGGCCAACTTGAGAAATTACATATTAGGGATTCATTCAATAGCCACAAGGCTGACCAAAGATGAATTATTCTCAAAGGAACTCATGTGTTAATCTAAATATTACCATGCTATGATTGGCAATGAAACTAACCTCAGCTAAAGACGTATGTATTAACATGGTATACATTTGGTGTCACACTGTGTTATCCAAGGATCCAGACAAAATCTTGCTGAATACAAAGTCTGAGACATTTCTCTCAAAGCACACATCAAGCAAAAGACCACATGAGTAATTTCTCAAAAGGCACTGGTTTGAAAGTAAGAAAACCTGAGTTTTCTATCTCTTTTCTAATTGTGTGACCTTTCACCAAAAACTTGATTGCTCTAAGCCTCAGTTGTATCATCTACAAATTGAAAGTATCAATTTATATGAATCCATATGGAAAAGTAAATGCAGCTAACATGTTGGCACTGTTGACACCTATATGTGCTGGGCACTGTTCTAAACATTTTACATTCATAATTTACATACATATATATGGATATTTACTCATTACATAAACAAGCAAAATTAGGCTCAAATTCTTTGGATTACTTGGAAAAGTTCAAAACACAGCTAATAAAACCTGAGTACATAGCCTTAACCACCACCCCAACTACCTCCCACTGCCTTGTATTGTAGCTTCTACCAGAATCATCTGTCTTCAGGTGAAGAATCACATAACACAGAAACACACACACACACACACACACACACAAACTGGTTGAGCCTTGAAACATACATTAAATAGATTTTGGATTTCCAAAATTAGCACTGTTGAAGGAGTGGGAGAAGACATGAGGGTATTTGTGGAGCAACAGGGAAACTAACCTGGGTGGAGAGGTTATTATTGTTATTGAGAAGGCATGGGGCACACAGGTGGCTGTGGCATCAATATCACATCCTATATTGAGGTCTATTCTGCTTGTATAGAACCTATCATAGGCCCACACTTATCTTTGGTTAGTATCAGTTTTCCACACAAAACTGCAAGATCCCTGAAAGTAGGAACACTATGTCTGGAGTTTTCGTGTGTGCCATTGTATCCTCAGTGCCACACATGTTGCCTGATGCACTGTGGACATTCATTAAATATTTGTGGAATCGATGTAGTCATGTATGAATAAATGAATGAGAAATAACTCAGTGGTTGACCTTTCATGTCAGATGAGGGCATACAGGCTTGAAAAGTTGAAAAAGGAGCCCACGGAGGCTGTTTGAACAGGCTGCAGTGCCAGCAGTGGGACTGGAAAAGCAAGCACAAGGGCTATTTCAACGTGCGGATCAATAACACACACATTGTCTGTTGTGCACTCTCCATCCCAGGTGTCCCCTAATAGACATTTCTCTACTAGCTGAAGGCTCGGTCAGGACACCAATTTTATACAGAAAAAATGTGAGGAAACTATGGACCAAACTAAAGAAAAATTATTTGTTAGTTCTCCGTAACCCAGCAGTGGTACACGAAAGTCCCATGGTCCCAGATGTCTCCTTTCGTTTTTCTTTCTTTGTTTTCCCTACACAAAATGCCACTTTGTTTTTTTTTTTCTTTCATCAAACAGCTCTGGTTTGGCAATATTTAATTGCATGTTTTGGATGAGGTCCCTGAAGCTCTTAGAAGTTAATTATTTCTTTCTGGTGAAGATCAGAAACTTTGAACTCTACTCGTGAGACAAATGGTCTGGTAGCACTTGGAACTTCAACTTATTTAAATTACTGAACAGCTCATCAGCTTACTCCCTGCATTTGCAATTGAATCTGGAAGAGAATCGGACCCCAGACACCATGTACAGGCCAAGGATGTGGGATTTATAGATTAAGTTCAGAGTAAAGCAATCTCCCAGAGATAGAGACTTGGTGATAGCTTCCAGATAAACTTGTAGATCAGTGGGGTTAAGCTTAGATGGAGAAGTGATATGGCACATTTACTGTAAACCAAACTGCTCAGTGAAAGGCAGATTCTGGTTAGTCATATTTTCTCCATTTTCTGGTTCTGGCAGGTACAATCAATACCATTAGACATTTTTGCTAACCAAGGCATGCGCAGGACCTTGGAGGTATCGGATTGTATGGCATTATTCTCCAGCAGTGAGAACAGATGATAGAGAAAGAGCCAGAAACCAAGTAAGCTATGTAGAGAGCACCTCTCCTGAAAGTCATTCAGTTTAATTTAGAATTCAGGATGAAGAATATTTTGTTAGTGTGTTATCATTTCCTGTTTTTAAAAATTAAGTGACACTTTGGTTTAGCAGGATTCTAGTTCATTGAGATAAGATAATAGATGGATAAATATTAACAGGCAAAAGATGGCTAAACCAGCAGGTTGCACATTGAAATAACCTAAAGGGAAGGTCTTGATGCAGAGCATTCAAATGACTCTTCTACATGTTGTAGCTTTTGCAGAGGAGACTGAATGAGGACATATGTGCATCAAACGTCAGTGCAAAAAATGTTTGCCTAAAAATATGAAAGGCTTTAATTAGCTCTCATCACCCAGGGTTGTAGATCAAAGGGTTTGTCAATTGAGATTTGACCTAACCTAAAATAATTTTCTTTCTTCAGAGATTTCCAGGATTTGGGGAGTTTGCTAAGCTGTAAAGGTTTTTGAAATCCTGTCAGGAGAGTTTGCAAGAAGATCACAGTTCTAAACCTGGAAATACTTGGAGACTTGTTCTTTTGGACAGTCCCATTCTGCTCCATCTACTAGTACTTGGAAAGGACTTCCAATGGTAAGTAGGTAACAAGAAAAAGCTCTAATTTATTTTCTTTTCCCCTGTTCTCCATTTTTGTGGGGGGGCGGGGTCGCTCTGCAGTCATCTAGTTGGCATGGAAAATCTCCAGAAAGGTGAGGGGGCAGCCATTAGGTAAAAGAAAGTTAGGCTTTGTCAGGATACTTCCAAAAGTTTGTGGGAAAAATGAATGAAAGTGTGAGTTTATTTTGGTGCAAATTTTTTGATAATGTGAAGAAAATATGTATTATGCAAAAGCCATGCATGGATTTCCAAAAAAAAAAAAAGATGCACCAAAATAAACTCACATTTGTACTTCTGTTTTTCAGCCAACTTTTTGAAGTGCCCTTGTATAAATAATTTCAGGTAACAGGACTGAGATGGAAAACATGCTGGACACAGTTTGCCAGGAATCTCTTAATGGTAATTCTGGGATGACACAATCAGCACTGTCGTTGGAGGGCGGGGCCCAGGCTAAATGCAAAACAAGTCTCTCAGTTTAAAAGCTCAGTAGCCTTTAAATGTGAGAAGGAAAATGTCATCAATTTTAGTTCTATGGAACCCAACAGTACTAATGGAAGCAAGGTCATGGGTTCAATCCCAATCTCTACCAGTGAACTTAACATAACTTCAAAACAAGTCTGTCTTATGGCCATAAACTGGTCACCAATTATTAGTCAAATGGCACAGCAATTTATTTTTCTAGGCTTGTGAGGGACTGAGTGATAGACTATAAACTTTCCCTCAGTACTGGAGGAACAAAATAGTTTGGGGCTCATTATGGAGAATATCCTAGAAGGAGGAGAAACATCTATTTATCGATACTGAATATTTAACATCAGAAACAGTGTGTTTCATAGAGTACTAGGAGCAACATAGACATTTAAATGGTGCATTAATCATCTACCCACTTCTTTGCATAACCAGTTTATCCTCTCATCTAAAGTTTGTCCATCACAGTTTTAGATAAGGTGCGTGCGTAGGTAATTGGCAACTAAGCATACTTTCAATTAGTCAAAATATTTTAAGGTATGACTATGATAATTTCAAATATAACAGGTTTTTTTTTCATGCAGCCATTTGACTCTTCTCTTTGTCCATTATCTCTCTGTGGGGATGATTGTCTCAATTTTCACTGGAAAAGGTGCAGGCAGACCAAGGCAAAACCTCTTTTTCAGGGTCTCAAGATAATTGAAAGCAGAAGCAGCATTAAGCCTCTCCAGCTCTGAGGACACTCTTATGAAGGCAAGTCACCACCTTTACATCCCTTATATTTGTCTGCCTCATCACAAATGACAAATACTTTCAGCTCCAAGGACTTACCTTTTTTTGTGTACTTTGCCTGTTTTAGAGGCTGAGAAAAGCAGAGAGTGACACACAGGGACAGGACACAGGAGGCCAGGGCAGGGAAGGGGAAAGTAATGAAACCTTCTTTAGTGCAAACTTGTAAAGACAAGTGAGTATCCGATCTCAGAGGTGGTTAGAGAAATGTCATGCCTTAGCCAGACCCCTTCTCTCACCCAGATACTTTCCAACAAAAGAGCAAAATGTAATCGAATCCCTATCCTCGGAGTAGTAGGGTTGCTTTCTTTTCATTTTATCTGAAGGAAATCAGAGAATCCTAGGATGTTAGAACTAGATGGGCTCTAAAATATTATTTGGTTTAACGAGATTGCAAAGGAAAATTCAGGGCAATTGAAGGGAAGAAGGCTGTCTAAGAGAACTATCCAACAAGTGACAGAAGCTTTGAAGAAGAGATTACAGAAGAAGTGTGAGAATTAGTTTCCTGAAGGAGCACCTATAGATTAAAAAGTATTTGACCTATGAAGAACCAGGTTTGGGGAAGAGGCAGATGGGAACAACAAAAAAGTTGCTTTTCAATATGGAGCAGCTAGAATGGTTCATTCACACCTTCACTCAACAAATAATTGTTGAGCACTTATACCAGACACTCTTCTAGGTTTGGGGTATACAACAAGGAACAAAAAAGATAAAACTCCCTGACTTGATTGAGTGTACATTCTAGTTGAGAGAGACAATGAATAAGCTGCATTAATAGAAAAGGTAAACAGTATGCTAAAAATGGTTCTAAGAAGAAAGCACGCAGAAAAAGAGGATATCTAATGTCAGGGGATAGAAATGAACTTCTAGACAGGGTGACCATGGAAGGACTCACTGAACAAACACCCTGTGAATGAAGACCTGAAGGAACTGAGAAGGTAAACTAGGCAAGGGTGTGGGTCCTGTAACTATGGAGCAACAGGATCAAAGGCTCTGACACAAGGTTGTGGTTTGTGTGTTTGGGGAATAATTAGGAGGTTAGTGTGACCAGAGTGGAGTGAGCAAGGGAATGGGTAGTACGGAGTAAACAGAGAAACAAGCTATGCAGGACCTTAAAAGGCATAGTAAGAAGACTGGTGCTTAATGAGGCTGAAATGAGAAGCTATAGTTAGCCAATGTGGTATTATATACCTAAAAATATGAGGGTAGATATGATGTTAAATTTTCTTTTGTAAAATTTTTAGTTAGATAAGATGAACAAATTTCATGTATTTCATACATACAGATTTGGTGTTAAACTTTATCATAAAATAAAAGAAGGAGGGAGAAAACTTTTGGACAAAACAGTTGTATTTGTGACTGTTTTGTGGATGTATGCTTACCTTCAAACTCATCAAGATTTATCCATTAAGTACATATACATTTGGTATGTCAATTACCTTAATGAAAGAAAGAAAATTTTTAATTGAAGATTTGTGACCCGATCTAACTTAAAATTTAACGGGATCATTTGAAATGAATGAGGACAAGCCCAAACACAAAGAAACCAATTAAGATACTACAAAATCTAGATGAGTAATGACTGTCTTGGATTAAAAAAAATAGAAGTTCAAGTGGCAAAAGGAATATTTAGATTCAGGATAACACCTATGAATGCTTCAAACTTGATATATTCATTTAATAGCTATTGGTTCCTATGATGCTCCAGGCACTAGGTGCTAGGAATACACCTGGAAACAAAGAAGACAAGTCCCTGTCCTCAATAAATTTACATTTGATCGGGAGACCAAAAATAAATGAGGAATCAAGTTGTTGATCTAGTTTCAGGTATTGAAATGTGCTGTAAAAAATAAAGCAAGGTGAGGGAAAAGAGTGATGAGGGTGGGAAGAGAAAGCCTTTTCAGATAAGCTGTTCACTCATGTCCTCCCCTAACCAGTGACACATTCAGAAGCATCAGATTGGGTTGACACACTCCTAACTGGGGCTCAGCAACCACAGCACAGCAAACACAGGAGAAACTAGAAATGTTAATTCTACTGGGGACATTGGCAGAGGGTTCTCATAGACTTCAAGGGCTTCACCTACTACTCCATTCACATATTGGGTCAGGTTGAAGAGGTGCTATGGGCACAGTGTCAGACACAGTGATAAATCCTGGCATTATGGAAAGATAAAAGCATTCACAGATTAGGAGTGAGTCACAGCCACAAAAGTAGACAGTATTTTATCCAAGACAACTCATCTGTCACAAAATATCCTCTTGATGAAGAATGGTAACTCATGTTACACACACCAGATAGGTCTTGAAAAAAAAAGCAGAACAAGTGAGAGTCAGGAAGATGATCTCCCTTTCTTCTCTTAGTTGGGAAAAAATAATCTAAGAAGGAACTTGGTGGGATAAGGCTAAAGAGCTTTTCATGTCACTATTTTCAAAAGGGTGGGGAATTTTCCATTTTTTCAGTCAAAAAACAGGGTTTTTTTTTTAGGTTTGTCTCTGACCCCATGACAGATATCCCCTTTGTGTTCAGGGTCTTTTGGAAGGGATAAAAATAATGATCGTGCATGCTAATTCTTTCCAATTTTTTCACACCCTCCATCTCTACTTCTACTCTTTCAGATAGAATTTGAAAGTTGCAGTGGCACACATTCCATCAATAGTGACAAGAGGGAAGGGTTGTCATGGGCAATGCCACAGCAGTGCTTGAGTTTCTCCTTATTGGCATCTCTAACTACCCTGAGTTGAGAGGTACATTTTTCACATTGGTTCTGATAACTTACCTCAGCACGTTGTTGGGAAATGGACTTATCATCTTTCTGATACACTTTGACCACCACCTCCACACGCCAATGTACTTCTTCCTCAGTCACCTGTCTTTCTTAGACCTTTGCTATGGAACAGCTTCCATGCCCCAGGCCTTGGTGCATTGTTTTTCCACCCATCCCTACCTATCTTATTCACAATGTTTGATCCAAATGAGTGTCTCCCTGGCTTTGGCTACAGCAGAGTGTTTCCTGCTGGCCATCATGGCCTATGATCGTGTGGTTGCTATCAGCAATCCTCTGCGCTATACTGTAGTCATGAATGGACCAATGTGTGTCTGGTTGGCAGCTGCGTCCTGGGGGGCAGCACTTGTGCTCACTGCCATGCTTGTTTTATCTCTAAGGCTTCATTTCTGTGGAGCTAATGTCATCAACCATTTTGTCTGTGAAATTCTCTCCCTCATTAAGCTGGCCTGTTCTGACACCCGCCTCAATGAACTCATGATCTACATCACTGGCATCTTCACCCTGCTCCTACCCTTTGGGTTTGTTCTCCTCTCCTATATCCAGATTGCTGCTGCTGTCCTTAGGATTCGCTCAGCCCAGGGCAGGTTCAAGGCCTTTTCCACTTGTGGTTCTCATCTGATGGTGGTGACAATCTTTTATGGAGCAGCCATATCCATGTACATGAAACCTCAGTCCAAGTCCTCCCCTGACCAGGACAAGTTTGTCTCAGTGTTTTATGGAGCCTTGACACCCATGCTGAACCCCCTGATATATAGCCTAAGAAACAAAGATGTTAAAGGGGCAATGAGGAAAGTTATGGCTAAAAGGGCATAAGCCTCCTTTGTTTCTAAACTTGTAAAACAACACTCAGCTAGCTACATCTTTAATTCTGATGAAAATAGTTTAAAGATTCTGGCTTTAACCTTGGAAGATCAGGTGACTGATTTATAAGAAGCTTCCCATCCAAAAATATTATCATTTACTGAGGCTTGAATTTCCATTAGAAGTTTTGTATTATTTTTTGCTCTTTCAAAACATAACACTGTTAGTGGTCATCCATTAGGTTAATCACCTTCAGGAAAACGAGCTTATTCAAATCATTGCCTCACTGACATAAAGGACCTAAGCAAAAAAGAATCTCCTATGATCATTGGTGCCAGGTAAGGCATAACTGAAATTGCAAAATAGGACAAAGAGTGGGGTAATAAAAGGCTTGAAGACAAATGTCAGAAACTTCACAATTCACTATGTTTCTAAATCTGTATATATGAAATACATGAAACTTGTATAACTTAAATAAAATTTTAAAAAAGGAAACTTCACAATTTTGATAAGAGCAAATCTTGTTGTGTATACACAATCTCCTTTGTTCCACTTAACCTCAGAATCATGAGAAAATTGTATCATTGCTATTTCCTATAATGATGTAGACTTTTCTTTCTGTTTTCCCAAACTTCTTTCTAATCCGTTAGCTTATTATGTTTTCCTAACAACTCAGTTCATAAGAAAGCTCCCCAAATGCCCCATCTGTATTAACAATAAGGAAAGGGAAGCTGAGAGAACGAGTTGAGGTACACAACTGGTAGGGACTCAACACTAGAATTTAGAAAGCAGTTGTTTGACACAGTGTTTAAGACATCAGTTGGGATGCCTGTGTCCCATATCAGAGTGTATGGATTAGAGTTACGTCTCTGCTTCCAATTCCAGATTCCTGCTAATGTAGACCTTGAGAGACAGCACGTATGGGCTCAATTGCTTGAGTTCCTGCCACCCATATGTAAGTCCTGGATTGAGTTCTGGGCTCCTGGCTTCAGCCTAAGCCAGCCCCAGCTGTGTGGGCATTTGGAGAGTAAACCAGCAGATGGAAGATCTCTCTCTCTTTCTCTCTCTCTCACTTTCAAATTAAAAATAAGTAAAATTATTAAAAAATAGAATTCATGGCCAGCACCATGGCTCAATAGGCTAATCCTCCACCTGCAGCGCTGGCACCAATGGTTCTAGTCCCAGTTGGGGCCCCGGATTCTGTCCCGGTTGCTCCTCTTCCAGTCCAGCTCTCTGCTATGGCCCGAGAGTGCAGTGGAGGATGGCCCAAGTGCTTGGGCCCTGCACCCACAAGGGAGACCAGGAGAAACACCTGGCTACTGGCTATGGATCATCGTGGTGCAGCAGCAGCAGCGCACCGGCTGCAGCTGCCATTGGGGGTTGAACCAACGGAAAAAGAAAGACCTTTCTCTCTCTCTCTCTCTCTCTCTCTCTCACTATCCACTCTGCCTGTCAAAAAATAATAAAAAAATAGAATTCAGACCACATACATGCCACTTCTTGGTTTATTTCAACTAGGTCTATAAAATTATTTGGAATTTAAAATTATAAATGCAGTTAACATTTGCTGGGCACCTGCTATAAGCCAGACACTGAGCTAAGGTCTCAACAACCACTATCACATAGAATTCTCACAACAGCTCAATAGAGTATTGCTATTTTCAACTCATATGAGAAACGAAGAAACTGGAACAGGCATTTGGTGCAGCAGTTAAAATGCCACTTCGGATGCTTGCATCCCGTATTTCAGTGTCTGGTTAGAATCCCGGCTACTCTGCTTCTGATCCAGCTACCTGTTAGTGTACATCCTAGGAGACAGTGAATAAACAGCTCAAGTGTTTGGGCTTCTGCCACCCAAATGGGAGACACAGATTAAGTTTCAGGCTTCTGAGTTTAGCCTGGCCCAGTGCTGGCTATTTCAGGCACACGGTTTACTCTCTCTCTCATCCCTCTTTCAAATAAAATGAAAATGTAATAGAAAGGAATGAGGGGCCGGCGCCGTGGCTCACTTGGTTAATCCTCTGCCTGCGGCACCGGCATCTCATATGGGCGCCAGGTTCTAGTCTTGGTTGCTCTTCTTCCAGTCCAGCTCTCTGCTGTGGCCCAGGAAGGCAGTGGAGGATGGCCCAAGTGCTTGGGCCCTGCACCTGCATGGGAGACCAGGAAGAAGCACCTGGCTCCTGGTTTCGGATCAGTGCATCACGGCAGCCGTAGCGGCCATTTTGGGGGTGAACCAATGGAAAAGGAAGACCTTTCTCTCTGTCTCTCTCTCTAACTCTGGCTGTCAAAAATAAAAAAGGAATGAGGAGACCAAGGCTCATAGAAAGTTCCATGATTTGCACAGAGCCACACAGATGGTAAATATCAAAACCAGTGTTTAAATCTATGTCTGCTTGATTCCTAATTGCACTTACTGTTTCTGAACCATAAGAGAATCTGGCTGTGATTAAATGCTATTTTTAAAATCATCTTTATTGTGATGTACCTTACGTACAATAAACTTTATCCAATACAGTGAGTTTTGTGGGATGCCCACAGAATCTCCACATGATCAAACAACTTCATTACAACAATTTCATTACACCCAAAAGTTTACTTGTACAGCTTTGTAGTCCATATCACCCTGGACAGCAAGCCCTGGCAACCACTGAACTGATTTCCTTCATTACATGTTAATTTTCATTTTCTAAAATGGCCTAGAAATGGAATCATACAGCATGTACTGATTTGTATCTGGATTTAGTCAAATTGCTTTTGAGATTTATATATTTTATATATTTATATATAATATATACAAATATAATATATATTATAATATAATATATAATAATATGTACAATATATACAAATATATATACAATATATATTGTATATATATACAATATATAGAAATATAAAATATTTGTATATATTTATCTAATTACTGTATGTAGCAGTAATTAGATCTGTTTTTTAAAAAAAAGAAAGAAGGTAAAGGAAGGAAACCTCACAGGAAAGTCAAAGCATATATTAGAAAATATCTTTGGGAAATGGCAGGGTAAAGTTACTATTTATCAATAGTCACATTGAAAGTTAATGGCCTCAATTCTCCAGTTAAAAGATACAGATTGGCTTAATGCATTAAAAAAGAAAACCCATCTATTTTCTGCTTACAAGAAACACATCTTTCCAACAAAGATGCATGCAGAATGAAAGTGAAAGGTTGGAAAAAGATATACCATGCCAACAGAAATGAAAAAAGAGCAGGCATAGCCATCTTAATATCAGACAAAATAAACCTTACCACAAAAACTGTTGAGAGACAAAGAGGGACACTATATAATGATTAAGGGATCAATTCAACAGCAAGATATAACAATTATCAATGTATATACACTTATTACAGGGCACCGGTTTATTTAAAAGATTTGTTAAGGGACTTAAAGGGATACTTAGACTACAATACAATGCTTTTCAGGGAATTCAATACTCCACTTTCAGAAATAGACAGATCAACCAGACAGAAGATCAACAAGGAAACAGCAGATAAAATCGAAACTATGGCCCAAATGGATCTAACAGATCTCCACAGAACTTTTCATCCTACAGTTAAAGAATTCACATTCTTCTCAGCAGGACATGGAACCTTCTCTAGGATTGACCACTACTAGGCCATAAAGCAAGTGTTAGCAAATTCAAAAGAATTAGAATCATACCATGTAGCTTCTCTAACCATAGAGGAATGAAGTTGGAAATAAGCAACTCAGGAATCCCTAGAGCATATGCAAACACAAGCAGATTGAACAACATGCTCCTGAATGAACAACGGGTCATAGAAGAAATCAAAAGAGAAATCAAAAACTTTCTGCAAGTAAATGAGGATAACAGCACAACATACCAAATCTTATGGAATACAGTAAAAGCAGCGTTAAGAGGCAAGTTTATAGCAATAGGTGCCTACATCAAGAAATTGGAAAGGCACCAAATAGATGAGCTATCAATGCACCTCAAGGATCTAGAAAATCTGCAGCAAACCAGACCCAAATCTAGTAGGAGACGAGAAATAATTAAAATCAGAGAAGAAATCAACAGGATTGAATCCAAAAAAACATTGCAAAAAAATCAGCCAAACGAGGAGCTGGTTTTTTGAAAAAATAAACAAAATTGACACCCCATTGGCCCAACTAACTAAAAAAAGAAAAGACCCAAATCAATAAAATCAGAAAAAGGAAACGTAACAACAGACACCGCAGAAATAAAAAGAATCATCAGAAATTACTACAAGGACTTGTATGCCAGCAAACAGGGAAATCTATCAAAAATGGATAGATTCCTGGACACATGCAACCTACCTAAATTGAACCAGGAAGACATCGAAAATCTAAACAGACCCATTACTGAGACAGAAATTGAAACAGTAATAAAGGCCCTCCCAACAAAGAAAAGCCCAGGACCAGATGGATTCACTGCTGAATTCTACCAGACATTTAAAGAAGAACTAACCCCAACTCTTCTCAAACTATTCAGAACAATCGAAAAAGAGGGAATCCTCCCAAATTCTTTCTATGAAGCCAGCATCACCTTAATTCCTAAGCCGGAAAAAGATGCAGCATTGAAAGAGAATTACAGACCAATATCCCTGATGAACATAGATGCAAAAATCCTCAATAAAACTCTGACCAATAAAATGCAACAACATATCAGAAAGATCACCCACTCAGACCAAGTGGGATTTATCCCTGGTATGGAGGGATGGTTCAGTGTGCACAAATAAATAAACGTGATACACCACATTAACAGACTGCAGAAGAAAAACCATATGATTATCTCAATAGATGCAGAGAAAGCATTTGATAAAATACAACACCCTTTCATGATGAAAACTCTAAGCAAACTGGGTACAGAAGGAACATTCCTCAATACAATCAAAGCAATTTATGAAAAACCCACGGCCAACATCCTCTTGAATGGGGAAATGTTGGAAGCATGTCCCTGTGTGCTGGTGCCGCAGCTCACTAGTCTAATCCTCCACCTGCCGTGCCAGCACACAGGGTTGTAGTCCCAGTCAGTGCGCCGGATTCTGTCCCGGTTGCTCCTCTTCCTGTCCAGCTCTCTACTGTGGCCTGGGAGTGCAGTGGATTATGTCCCAAGTCCTTGGGCCCTGCACCTGCATGGGAGACCAGGAGAAGCACCTGGCTCCTGGCTTCGGATCAGCACAGTGCGCCAGCCACAGTGCGCCAGCCACAGCGGCCATTAAGGGGTGAACCAACAGCAAAAGGAAGACTTTTCTCTCTGTCTCTCTCTCTCACTGTCCACTCTGCCTGTTAAAAAAAAAAACCATTGTAATCCATAAGCTGTACTTTGGAAATTTATATTTACTAAATAAAAGTTTAAAAAAAAGTAAAAATTAAAAAAAAGATTTATTTATTTATTTGAAAGTCAGAGTTACACAGAGAGATAAAGAGAGGCAGAGAGAGAGAGAGAGAGAGAGAGAGAGATCTCATATGCTGGTTCACTCCCCAAATGGCCACAATGGCCGGAGCTGCGCGGATCCAAAGCCAGGAGCCAGGCACTTCTTCCTGGACTCTCATGTGGGCGCAGGGGCCTAAGGACTTGGGCCATCTTCCACTGCTTTCTCAGGCCATAGCAGAGATTGGAGCATAAGTGGAGCAGCTGGTACTCGAACCTGTGCCCATATGGGATGCCGGCAATGCAGCCAGTGGCTTTACACACTATTGCTAGATAATATTCTATATAAAAGTTTCCAGATATTTAAAAATTCATTCCTTATTGATGGACAGAATGTAGTGTTTTTGAAAATGTTTAAGGTTTTTAACAGGTTCAATTTAGTTCATATATACAATTCTAAGAATATAACGATAGTCCTATTCTCCCTCCTTCTCTCCCTTGCTATCCCTTCCACCCTCCCTCCCTCTGTCTTTCCCCCTTTCCTTCTTCACTTTTGAAATAACATATCTTTAATTTATATCACAGTTAAGGGCTTAATGCTCCAATAAATAAATAGTTAAACAAGTAAAAAGCAAAAAGACCCTAGTTAAGAGAAAATATAGGCAAGGGCTGTAGACAATAACCAAATGGAAGAAAGACTATTTCACTCATAAATAGTAAATTTCAAAGTAACACATAGATCATAAAAAACTGTAGTAGGATAACATTGTTAATCATTAGTTTGACAAAAGTATAAATCCAGGTTTGGTAAAAGTATATTTGCAGCAATACTGATACACACAGGCATTTCTTTAGTTTTTGTTTTTGCTTTCCATTTTTCTAAATTTTAGCTCCCACATTTAAGGCGGGACATATGATATTTGTCTCTCGGTGTCTGGCTTATTGCATTCTACATGATGCCTTCCAGTTTAATCAATTTTACTGCAGATTATGGAATTTCATTCTTTCTAATACCTGAATAAAACTCCTTTGTGTCTATGTGCCACGTTTTCTTTACCCATTCAACTGATGATGGACACCTTGGCTGATTCCATATTTTGGCTATTGTGAACACTGCTGCTATAAACATTGTGGTGCAGTTATTTCTTTGATATAATGTATTCAAGTTTTTTTGGGTA